CTGGGATAGTGATTGGCACAGTTGTCTTTCGATAAAATATAATGTGTTCACATGCCCCTATAATTGAGTGAGGATTATCTCCTCCCATTTTGTCAGGGAGGTTAGGAAACACCCTGTATACGATACGAGTTCGAGTTCGAAGTATTCTAGGAAATTACTATAAGTGAGAATAATTGTGATATACTGCAGCAAACGTCAGAAGTGTTTCAAACCCATTTAACTCCCTGAGGAGATAAATGATATATGGTTTTTCGTGAACTGTTTCAGAAATGAAGTAGAATGAATGAGAATGAGAACAGTAAGAACTCAGAACGGACCATTATTTGATACTATGAACGCTTCTGTCATGAATATAAAAAAGATTTGTTTCAACATATGTTTGGCTGTATAACGTTTGTGTTTGTATTCTCCAGGAGGTGATTCTACAGGATATATCCCTCATTTATAAAATGTCCCATAAGAGCAATGTAACTATCGAAAAATTACAGCGGTAATTGCACTGCACGCTAGATGCCAGTAAACAACCAAAATGAATGTCAGATAGACTTCAAAAATTGAAAAAAGTCTCGCGTTTTGGTCAGTGCTCTTTCGTCAAAATATGAAAATGAACTTGCAATTTTTAGATAACAGGCTTTCTTGCAAAATTATCGGTAATTTTTATGCACTTGTGCAATTATAGCCGAAAATTTCACATCTAACATTTTCGACCAATTGAAAGCCTGTACTTTGTATCGTTACCATAGCAACTAACCAAATTTCTGGAAATTTGTTACTCCTCCTTGGGGGAAATTACACTGGAATTTTTTGACGTTTATGGGTAAAATGACATTTGCATTTAAATTCAGATTCATCTAATTCTTTCTATATGTATGCTGATATAAGTTTCTGGCAAGAAAATATGTTTCTACCAACTTCAACTAAATGAATTCGTAAAAAAACTGAGAGGCTGAGCTATACTATCGACTTATTTTTCATTAGTTCATTTAACTAAAGTCGTTCAATCATATTCTATTTTTTCTACTCACATAACTAAAATGGCATTTAGCGTACGGATATGTACCATGCTAAATGATCGATTAATCACGGATTGTCGATCTGTGATTTATTCAAAATATTAAACACGTTACCATGGCAACACGATTTCTTAAACACATTACCATGGCAACGCAGTTCATTAAACACAGCTTCAGTAATTTGAGACATGTCTGGCCTGTCAGTTGTATCAACTGTCAACTGTTATTTTCGAATTTTGTATCAGAATTATTCGAAACAATATTCGTTTGTATCAGAATTCTTCAACAGAAATATATGCGAAAAGTAGACGAAAGTGGAATCGAAGAGAATGTTCTGGTACTTGCATATCTCCAAGATGTGTAAAAACGAAGCATCCATTTTTGAGAACAATTTACTGCGCTAAGCATGACAATGAACGTGAAACAAAGGTTAGTAAGCGATGGACTGGACACATCTACAACCAATATCACTTATACGTGTCTCGCTGGTTGCATGCAGTTGCATGTATTATGTTCTCAATTCCCATTCCTTTCGAATTATTTTGTAGGTTAGCAGGAATTGCAGGTATGTTAATGTAATTTTCGGAGTTCGTAGAAAAATCATAGCATGTAACGCGTTTATAAACTCTTCTAGACACTCGTTTATTAAACACTCGCTCCGCTCTGCTCCGTTCGTGCCTAAACTACTCGTTACTACAAGGACTTTTATAACACTTGTTACATAATTGATACTAAATCGCCCTTCGAGTTTCATGTGAGAAAATATTTTTCTACCAACTTTAGTGAAATGAATTTGTGGAAAACTGAGAAATTGAGCTACTATCGACTTATTTTTCATTTATTTTGGGTAACTTAAGTAAATTGATTCTGTTTCATTTAACCTAACAATGATATGGAATATGGATATGGACAGGGTATGTAACGACAAGCTTACACTATCTTCCTATCAAGAATAAGTCGGGAGAAATCCATGAAAATATTTTCGACAATGCAGTGTTGACGCTTCTACTAGAAAGTAGTAGCAACATTGATATTTCAAATAGAACATCCTGTATTTTATCGCATTTTTAGATTATCCCTGAAGAGCTGAATTTATCGATATATCACATTTGAGGTCTATCCAAAAAGATTACAGAGATATAGGATGTTCAAAATCGAGCTCAGCTTTTGGATTTTTTGTGTCGAAACTATTCATTATCGGTCAAAACGGCTCACATGTCTCAAACTCAACGTTTGATTCACTATTTACTGATATTTAATCGGAACAGATACAGGATGATTCGAGATATAACAACATAACAAACTGAATTTTGTCACCACACTGAACCATACAGGGTGGACATAAGTGAATTTCATGAATATTTGCAACTTTAATGCCCTGTATCTCGTAAACGAAGCCTTTTACGACTCATGCTTATGGAAACTTCATTTTCTCGAGACATCCTCTCACCTCTTGGAGTGCTTCTCACATAATATTATGAAACACCTTGTATATTGCACAAAAAGACGTTTCGATATCATTCCAATAACTGTCTACAGAGCCATTAATTCCATGGAAGAGCGATTTTCCTGTAGAAAATCTAATTTTGGACAATTCGAATACTTGCGAGTTCAAGTTCCATGAAAGACGGAATATCTTGTTGAAAGTTTTATTGGATTATTACTTCGAAAACATGACTTTGACATAGGTAGATATATATGTATAGGCATTCCGCTGCGATAAATATTATTGGATTTCAATGTGAAGAACGTTTTATGATAATGGACGTTCAATTCCCCAATAAATTATTGAAGATATAAGCACGTATTTACAATTAGGATAAATATCATTTGGTACGCGTTTTTCACACCACATATTTTCAGTAGTAATTAGTACTATAAGTTCTTCAAATTATTCGGGTTATACATCGAAAACTTATTGCATAGTTATTACAGAGTGTCACTTTAACAATTGTTGAACTGACACGATATGTAATTATTGTGCAGGAAGTTTGAGATGTATAACCCTGAAGATTTTGAAGTTCGAATTGTATTCGATGCGACTATTTTTTCAGTACTCTGAACGAACGTCAAAATTTGCCGACGAGCTCTCTTGTATGCTACAATATGATTTAGTTATTATGGAAATGGAAACAATTCTTAATTTATGATTGGTGGAGCTACTCTATGTATATCCACGTATATTCAAAATTCTACAAGGTAGCTTGACTCATTTGAACGTTCTGATTGGTTTAAAATCATACGAAGCAATAGTAGATTGTTTAATCAGTATCAAAAGTGACACTTTGATTGACAAGCGAATTTTGCATTTGCGAGGCGAAGCGTTTAGCGAAGCCGAGTCAAACAAAGTCACTTTTGATCCGAATGAAACATGCAATTTTTTCTGCAACCGAAAGAATTGAATGAAATGAATATGTGAAGTAACCACCAATGTGACATTAGAATATTGGTGGACGATGTCTTTACTTTGTTACAATTTGTGTTGACATTCAACATCCGATACTATACAGGCACGAATTCAAAACTATATCCGAAACGTGAATGCCGTGCCTCATGTATGAAATGCAACAAATAATTCGTGCGGTGAGAATATTCTACCTGCATTGACAGATCAGGTTTATTCAATTCCCAAGGATGTTCGAATTGTAGTTTTGATACAAATACAGCCACAGAGTGATTTGTGAACTCTATCGAATTGATAAATCGATGAATTCATTTGGACCAGGTGTCTGCCCTAATAGCAAATACCGCGCCAGTGCCAGGTATAGAAAAAAGAAGTGGAAAATGTTAGGTTAGTGAGCATATCAACAATAATAATAGCTGTTATTAATTTCTCTCCATATTCCACAGTGTTTGGCTTGGTAATCAAAGGAAGGTGAACAATATCGTTGTGTGTGACAAAAAAGTTTTACTGGCCAGGATTATTCAAAAATAAGTTATCCAATCAATCAGATCCTGAGAATAAATCAAATAAACATCAAGTAAGTATGTGAATTCTGATCAAAACAGAAATACTTAATTATAATTTGGTGTATTCGAATCTCCAACATGATGGGTATGAAATGCCAAATCTGCCGAAATCGGGAACAAATCAGGTATGCGTCCCAACCCAAATAACCAACCATGAAGATGTTGTTTATTCTTGATTACCTAGTACATCATTTTTTGTTTATTTAGCTCTTAGGAACTAAAAGTGTGCCTGACAATATACCTATGTTTGTGACAGTAATATAAACGTCAATTCAAGAGCTAATTTTGGTATTGAAAAGGACGACTCTAATATTGATTGCAGAAAAATAATCATCCATATTTGAGTTCACTTTCTGATGCCCCTTTCTGGATGAGAGGAACTCGTGACTCAGAGCCACCGACACTCTAATGAATTATTACGGATTGATTCCATGTAGCACACATATATTGGGACAAAATATCGGCAAAATTTTGCTAACGTAATATTGGAGAGAAACAAAATGTGAACATTCGGCGATATTGGTGCAATGATAGTTTCAAAATATGGGTTGTGAATATTCAGAATCAGCATATTGCAATGTTATCAACAATATTGGTTGAATATTCGTAGAGTAATCATAAAATGTCGAATCAATATTGGCGAGGAATAAAAAGTGAACATTTGACAATATTGGTGCAATATTAGTTGGAAATTTTGGTGGATCATTGAAAACTATTATGTTGCAATGTTCTCGTCTTTTGAAAGTAGTCGTGAAATATCTTCATACCAATATTGGCAAGACATAAAACGTGAACATTGCCAATGGAAGTATTCCAAAGATCTCATAGTCTCCAGAATTAAAAAAAAAACATTCCACAACTACATCCTCTTCCTACCCTTCCTAGGTACTGTTTCACGAACATTATAGAAATTTCCTTCCGTGCGCTCCAAGAGATGAGAACACAAGGTTGTATTTAGAATGAACAAAGCTTTCAGTGTCACTGGACACATAGCCAAGAAAGTATAAAAAAACTTACATGTAATTTTCCTCTGCACAACGCCTCGTTCAACCTCCGTCCGCTGCCGTGGAATGGAAGAGTACCGGAAAGAATGACGTGCAGGAGGATACCCGCTGCCCAAATGTCGACTGGTTTACCGTATTGCCGTCTCTCTATCACTTCGGGGGCCATGAAATGGGGGCAGCCGACCCTGCCTAAAAACGGGAAGAACCAGTTAATCTGATCGGTCGACTCGATACAGTAACCCGAACGTTATAGTAGATGAGCTGTGAGAGTTCTGGATCAAAGTATATGTGTCGGTAGTAGATGAGCTATGAGAGTTCTGGACCAAAGATGGTGGTAGTAAATGAGCTATGAGAGTTCTGGATTCTGGGTGTCAGTGATGAGTAGGTTGGGCATCTATCAAACGAGGCTGAGGAGTCGGAGATATCATATGAAGAACCGACGACTATGATGAATAAATGATAAAATGATATTTACAAGCACATATTTACTCAGCTAATCTAATGGTCGACATGTGTCTTCGATAATATCCCAACACTCCAATCGTGACCACTGCCAAGGTTAACTGATTATTCAGCTACTATACAGACTTCAGTTTTTTTTTAACCTTTCCAAGGAATGTGTTCCATCTGAGCTGACCTACAATTTACAAATTGAATTCAAACAAACAGCTTAAGAAATTCAGCAGTTTCCAGTACCATAGTGTGAATTTCATTAAGAAAGATGTCGAACAGCACTTTATCAAAACTCCTTCATCCATAGAACGGCTAGGCTCTGGAATTCATTGCCTGAGGACGTATTCCCAACAATATATAATCTCCAGAAGTTCAAAAACAATTCCAATACCTACCTCCTGTCCCTATTCTCCTTAGGAACGCACGATGTTCTTTGAACATTATAGGGATTTCCTTTCGTGCGCTCCAAGTGATGAGGAAAAAAGTATTGGAAATGTTGAATTACTCTTCAGCTGAGTTAAGGGAATATGAGAAGGTGCCATCAGAATACACATAGCTCATTTTCTGACTCCGAAATATTATTTATATAGATAAAAAACTCGTTATGACGTTCCAACAATCTCAATAAGATTTTTCTCGAAATCAACGTTTGGGAAACTGCTATATTCAAAGTTTGGTTTTGATAAGATTGAACTTTCATGGGGAAATACATATGACTTTGGTTCAGAACTCCCATAGCTCATCTACTCAGGACCAAACTGATTTAGGTCGATTTTGAAAAATGTAACAGACGATTTCGTTCCAGTTCCCCAAAATTATTTTTCCAACTAATTTCTCATAGTTCATTACTGTATCCATCAGTGAGTTTTTTTATTATTTCGTCTACTCTTGCAATCTTCCATTTCGCAATAGATTGATTCCAAATTTGAAATTTGACTACTTCTTTAGTAATGCCTCTTGAAATTGTACGAATCCGAATTTCACGTTGAGTTAGTTGGAATAGTTAATTTTGGTCAGGAACTTATGGAAATTGAATTGAAATCGGTTGTTGCTGCGATTTTCAAAATCAATCAACATAATGTGCTGAAACATCTGAATAGTTGTATTCATATATAGGGTGTTTCGAAAATGCTCGTCAAGACTCTTGATGGATTCACCTTCGAAACAAAGATAAGGTCGATTGATTGATTGATTTGACCACACCTTTTTCAATTGTCATTCAGGTAACATAGGGTGTTTTTTGTTGAATATAACTTGTAATTCAGGAAAATGAATCGTTATTCAAAATTGAAAAAAATGTATGAGTCCATGAATACAACTGACTCATTCATTATAGCTGAAAAATGTGCTACATTGCGCATGATATCGTGATAGATCACAATAATTGAATACAACGGTGTGACATTTCATGTGAAAGGCACTCGATCAAGGCAGGCCAGGCAGAACAAGATGAATTATCATTCTAAACACATATAGGACTCCTAAGAAAATTGCAGACACTAAAGAAAGTGATGTCTTCAGGTTCGCTCTGAAGGACTATTGAAAATGCACGAAAGCACGCGAGATACGTGACAATTTCGTCATGATTGATGAACGTGAATTATTGATGCAATTAATTTGTGATCGTTTTTATGGTACTGCCAATATATGTATATCGAAGACTGGAAACTTTACACGATAATCAAACTACACTCTTCTACTTTTAAATGCCTCAACACGTGTTTCGCTATGTTAGCATCTTCAGTAGAATATTAAAACTGACCACCCTGTATCATGATGTCTTTCTCGTATTATGGCAGTACCATAATTTTTAAGAATGGGCAAGTCGCCACCTCAAAAATCCCCCAAAAGATCGATAGTTGTGCCAATAGCAGGAAGTGACTCTCATATACATGAAAATTATTATTTTTGAAAAGTTGGCCACATACTTGAATATCACAGTATTCAGAATATATTTATTTTCATGGGTCAACGCTATCTATAAGTATATGCGTGATATGGAGAACTGGAAGTAGCAGGATTCTGAAAACTTGTAGGGACGGTGAAGGAAACATGGAGAATCCAACTAAAATATTTTCGTTATTGTGAAACTTCGTTGTGTTCAATAATAATATACAGTGATTTTCTTCAATATCCTATCCCCATTATTTTTTTAACAAGTCAACGAAAGAAATTGAAAATTAAAATTGATGGATGGAGATTTCAAGATGACGACTGGGCGCCATCTGGGGGAAGAATTAAATGGAAAGGACGGTCTTGAGATACATCTTCTTGAAGCTCCAGACGAATACTTCAAAACCCTAAAATATAAAGTCAACATCTTCACCTTTTACAAAATGGCGGAACATTCAATAATGCCTGAATACATCGACGTTTACTACATAATTTGAAGAAATAGGTTCATTCCAGAAGATGCTCGAAATGGTTGTCTTGAACTGAAGAAGAAGGTTGAAGAACAGCCTATCCGATATTTCACGCCGAACACTTTCGAACACTGTTACGTCGATATTTCTATGAATATATATTATTCTCTGTCGAATATCCAATATTGAAGCAAAGGCAGTTCCGTACACATTTTGCTTCAAATAGTCCCGTAAAAAATTGGTCTAGAGATGTCAAATCTGGTGAGCGGGCTGGCCATTCCAAAGGACCTCGACAGCTAAACAGGAAAGTATTATCCAAATGTTTCTAACTTGTCTGGGGTGATGTGGTGGTGCTTCATCTTGTTGGAATACAATATCCATATCAAGTCAATCTACTCCAAAATATAGTATTGATGCATCAATTTCATTACCCCAAGTTTCAATTTTTTTCGTTGACCCGTTCAAAAAATAAAACGAGGGGGGGGGGAACATTAAAGAAAAGCACTGTATATTGTATATTGTATATTAGTGTATATGGACTTCATGATTCTGAATCAAATTAACCTAACCTACCATAAAAGAACCAATTTTGAGTTAGATATTCAAGTTCTTCTACACCATTTTCATGTGCATTAACTACAATCTGTAGTGATATGCAGTGATGGAATCATAAAAATTCGAGAATTTGACGGATCACCACAATCACAACCACCGAATGATTCACAGGGTACCAAGAATATTGGGTCCAGGAAGTGAATGTAAAATATGAAAAATCTCAATTTTTCACATGGGAACATAAATTCAAGTTATTTACTGGCAGATTCAACATCTGATTAATAAATAATTCGTGAATGTATAAGTGGTTTATGGCGAATGTAACAAAATTTCCTTAAGTGAAATTATTATAGGTTATTACATATATACTTTCATGAAAACAAATTCAATGAGAGCTAGGGCTCAATAGAATTGAATCATGAGGAGAAAAAGTATGGTTTTCATTCAAGAAAAATAAGACATTCAATGTTTCACATTCACTTTCAAGTCCCACTATTCTGTACACCCTGTAAATTATTCAGTGATAGTGATTGTGATTATGATGAATGATTCGGTCAATCTTCGAAATTCATGAGGCAATCACTGCATATCACAAAAAAATTACAGCTTACATTGAAATGACGTATGTTAGATAGCCTGCATTCGTTTCTAGAAAAACTCGAATGACTCAAAAGTTCTTTGATGATATAAATATAGGGTATGATTAATGAATTCGCACCAGAATCATGTTTATATTTTCCATATTATCATTATCGTTCATATTTTCGATTAGAATGCAGATTCCGTAAGTAATAATACCAACAGTGAAAAGACGCGGTGTATGATTGGTTGCCTAGAATCTAGACTACAATCGATCGTTAACAGACAAATTGTTCCTTGATAGGGGTCATTACCAATCAAATTCGAGTAGATTGATTAGACTTACTAATACAATGTCGACGAAACATATTTCAATTGAATTCTGAATTCTCCATGTTTTTTACAATAGCGTCACAACAAATTTACGGAATCATGCTACTTCTAGTTCTCTTTATGTACTGTCAACTACTAAAGTCTAGCCATAGCACCATAACTAGGTAATATTGCGCCTCGCTCGCTACTCGCTGGGCGCGAGAAACTGAAAATTTCTGGCCGATCCTGAAAATAAACCTAATTGAAATAGCGAATCACTATCGGCCTAACCAATAAATGCCTCCATAGTATTTTTACGATTAATTACTTAAAAAAAAAAAAGATTAGCTGGAGTAGGAATCATACCACGGTCTTTTAGTTCGGAGGAAGGAACACTATACTCTCATGACCACCACGCTTCTGTCAAAACAAACTACGAAACAATTTCATACGCTCTCGACTTGCCACCGTGGCAATATTTCCCGTATAGTGGTGCTATGGCTAGGCTCTTATCTGTCACTAGGACTAGTGCCATTCTCATGTTCTCACTTCGTACCATCGCTTTACAAGGAGTAAAAGGAGGAGGAGGCGGTAATTTTCTCAGGTGGCTTCCTGACCAATTCCAAGTGACAAGTGACATTAGTATGCGTTGTAACATTGTGCAACAAGCCTGGTGTTAGCTTACCGGCTTTGTCGGTTCTAAGATAGAGCCGACCCAACGGACTGAGATTGCTTCTGTATTCGTTCACGAGACATTCTGCAGGCCATCAAAACAACAACCATAAGCGCGATAACACACCAAACAGAACCAGTTATGATAATCCGCATACGCCATAAGGCACGCAAATATTCATTTCTCAGCAAAACAAGTATACAGATCATTAATTATCGAATCGTTACATATAGGGAATCAGAATGGCAACCTAG